CTTAGCACACACTGCTCTGGATTCTATTTAAACACTCAACTTGCTTATATCTTGGTTTCTTGGTTGTCTAAGGAGAGCACAGGCCTCTGGAGGGCAGGAGATGTATAGAAAACAAATTTTTCTGTAACTAAAAAAAAATTTTGTTTTTAGACAGAGTCTTGCTCTGTCTTCCAGGCTGGAGTGCAATGGTGCCATTTCTGCTCACTGCAACCTCCGCCTTCTGGGTTCAAGCAATTATCCTGCCTCAGTCTCCTGCGTAGCTAGGACTACAGGTGCCTGTCACCATGCCCAGCTAATTTCTGTATCTTTAGTAGAGATGGGGTTTCATCATGTTGGTCAGGCTGGTCTTGAACTCCTGACCTCAAGTGATCCACCCATCTTGGCCTCCCAAAGTTGCTGTCATTACAGGCGTGAGCCACCGCGTCTGGCAAAATTTTTAAAATATATACAGAAGTATGTAAAACGTTTTATGCACAGTTCAAAGAACAATAAAACAGCCACCTAGCCACCGGTCTACTTAACAAAACCAGTGTCCTGGAAGTCCTGTACTCTGCTCCTCTGATTACAGCCCCTCCTCTATCCTGGAGGCAGCCTCTCTCCTAAATTCTGGAGTAGTCACTCTCTGACTTTTTTAACAAAACAGTTGTATACCCCAAGCATGTATTCTGAAGCAGTAAAAGTACTGCCAAGTTTTGCCTGGTTTTGAACCTCACGTAAAGGAGCCACACTGTATGGACCCTTTGGTGACTTCTTTCTTTCACTCAACATTATTCGCGAGACTCATCCATGCCCCTGCAGCTGTAGTCCATCCTCCTCTACAGCTGCACAGCACCTCACGGTTCGGATGCACTGCCGTTCACAGATCCCCCTGCTGCTGGTGCTGGGCACATGCATTGTTTCTGTTGGTTTTGACTATACAGTAAGGAACAGCACTGCAGGGAGCACTTGTCCCCATCTCCTGCACACCTGTGCAAGAATTCTCAAAGGCATCTGCCCATGGTTGAACTGCTGGGCCACATGCATTCCACTGCCAAATGCTTTTGCGAAGCAGAACCCATTCACACTCCTGCCAGCAGCAGGTTCGTGCCACTCCTCAATGTCACTGGCTGGTAGCGTCCAAAGCTTCACCTTCTGCCAACAGGGTGGCTGTGAAATGGTATCTCGTTATGGTTTTAATTTACATTTCCCTGGTTACTAATAAGGCTACAGTCCTTTTTATACGTATGTGCTGTCTGTGTTTTGTAATCTTTGAAACGCCCGTTCCTATCTTTTGTCCTTTCCTTCTTCTCTCAGAATTGTAAGAATTCTTTAAATAGTCTAGATACTAGCTCTCTGTATGTTTTGTGTCTCATTACAGTGTCTTTGATGAATTAAATGTGCCATTATTATTTTGAGACAAGGTCTGGCTCTACTGCCCAGGTTGACGTGCAGTGGCATGGTCACAGCTCACTGCAACCTCCGCCTTCCGGGCTCAAGCCATCCTCCCACCTCAGCATCTCAAGTAGTTGGGACTACAGACATGTACCACCGAGCCCGGTTTTTTGTTTTTTGTTTTTTTTCTTTTCTGGTAGAGATGGGGTTTCGCCATGTTGCCCAGGCTGGTCTCGAACTCGTGAGTTCAAGCCATCCACCTGCCTTGGCCTCCCAAAGTGCTGGGATTACAGGTGGGAGCCACTGCACCTGGCTGAATATCTTAATTTCGAAATAGACAGATGCATCAATCTTTCTGCTTTAGGGTTTGTACTCATTACGTTTTATTTCAGAAATCCCTCCTTAGCCTCAGGTCATGAAGAAATTTTTTTGAATTATTTTCTATAAATTTTACACTTTTGCTTTTTCAGTTTAAGTCTTTAATCCTCCTGGTGTTTTGTGATGGTGTGAGGCTGGGATCTCACGCAACTTCTTTTTTTTTCTTTTTGAGACAGAGTATCTCTCTGTCACCCAGGCTGTAGTGCAGTGCTGCGATCTCAGCTCACTACAACCTCTGCCTTCCAAGTTCAAGCGATTCTTCTGCCTCAGCCTCCCAAGTAGCTGGTACTACAGGCGCGTGCCACTACGCCTGGCGAATTTTTGTATTTTTTTTTTTTAAGTAGAGACGGGTTTCACCACATTGGCCAGGCTGGTCTCAAACTCCTATCCTCGTGATCTGTCCGCCTCAGCCTCCCAAAGTACTGGGATGCGCCCGGCCAGATCTCACACATCTTTATATTCCTCCTCAGCACCTGACATGCTGCTGTAAACAATTTTATTTAATAAATAGAACCAAATACTGCTTTGTGTTCAAAGCTTCAAATTTAACTCTTGAGAAAAAATCTAAGAAGCTTCTCATACTCTGTGTCAGCAGTTTGACGAAGTTAGTCATTGGTGTATCATGACTTTTTGGGATTTATTTGCCTTCACTGCCAATTTTTGGTATAGGACTAAACGCACAATGAAGCTGAGCCTAACAGCAGCAACATGGAATCAGAAACCTGGAATCTAGTCCAAGATCCAATACTTCTCACTGTCATGTCTGTATTTGTGCAATAAGAATTAAAATATTCAGACTACCCCACTCCTAGGCGGATACCTAAGATAATTAGAAACTTTTGCTCACATAAAAACTCCTACTTGCATGTTCACAGCAGCCTACTCACAACTGCCAGAAGGCAGAAACAAAGAAAATATCTATCAGTGAATAAATGAATAAGCAAAATGTGGTGTTACCCATACAAAGGAATATTATCCAGCCATAAAAAAGCATGAAGTACCGATACATACTACAACATAAACTCTGAAAACATTATGCTAAAGGACAGAAACCAAATACAAAAGACCGTATGTTGCATGTTTCCACTTGTATGAAATGTCCAGCGCAGGCAAATCCACAGATAGAAGATAAATTAGGGCTGCTGAGGGACAGGGGGAGAAAAGGGGTATGACTGTTAATGGGGTTGGGGTTTCTTTTGTAGGTGATAAAATGTTCTGGAATTAGTTACTGGTGATGGATGTATAGCATTGTGACTATAGTAAGAACTACCTAGTTATACACTTTAAAATGGCTAAAATGATAAATTTTATGTCATGGGTATTTCATTTCAATTTTTAAAAACCTACTTAAAAAAAAAGTACCGCCAATTTGTTCAACTCTGTGCCCCTGCAATATTTCTGCAGTAATTAAAACCAAAAACGGCCAGGTACAGTGGCTCATGTCTGTAATCCCAGAACTTTGGGAGGCCAAGGCGGGCAGATAACCTGAGGCCACGAGTTCAAGACTACCCTGACCAACACAGTGAAACCCTGTCTCCACTTTAAAAAAAAAAATTAGCTGGGTGTGGTAGCACGCGCCTGTAATCCCACCCAGCTACTTGGGAGGCTGAGGCACAAGAATCGCTTGGGCCCGGGGCGGGGGGGACGTTGGTAGCAATGAGCTGAGATCGCAGGCACCACCGTACTACAGCCTGGGCGACGGAGCGAGACTGTCTCAATAAATAAATACACACACACACACATTCTGAAAGGGGCCTGCCTGGGTTGGAATCCACCTCTCCATTTAAGAGCTGTGTGTCCTGAATGAAGTTACTTTGCCTCTCTCTGCACGTTGCTCACATCACCTGTAAGAAAGGGGATAACAGTTTCTGCCTAAGAACTACAAGAGGAATAAAATGACGTGGTGCATAGAAAGCACTCAGAACAGTGCCCGTCCATGAGTGTTCAACAGACCTAAGCTATTAGCCACAATTATTGTGTTTGATATTAGCTACTAGATATCTGTGGCGGTCAGAGTAAAACTGAGAACTCGCTTTATGCAAAAGATGCTGCTAAGTGCTTTATTCCTATTGTCTCACTTTATTCTCTCATTAACCTTATAAAGCGCAGCCAGATTCTCCTGTTTATACATGGGGAAACTGAAGCTTACAGAGGTAAAGCAGCACACCCAACACCCCACAACTCAGAAAGGGCTGCTTGCAATTCAGATGGAGGTGTAGAAAGGCGCAGAGTCCTGGCCAGGGAGCCCACTGTGAGACCCCCCAGACTGCCTCGCAGTCAACTGTACACATCCTGCTGGGATCGCCGAGGGGCGCTGCAGCGATCTGGTTTCTGGGGCTGTGTCTGGGTGGCACGTTTTCAGAACAGGGACCTGCCTGGTTCCTCTTCCAGCCCTTCCCCTCCAGCACCCGGCAAGGCCCAGTCAACACGAGCAAACTCGGAAATCCTATCTGAACCCAGGACCGCTGCATGAGGAATCGGCGTGCCCTTTCTTTAGGAGCTCAATTCTTCTGAATTATTTCCATTTTAGAAAAACACGGCAACAACAACTCAAACCAAATCGTTTAGAAAGGAGAATAAAG